GAATGTGAAACCACCTGGTAATCTTTTTTTAACCCATAACCTGGTTGCTTGTAATGGAAATAGAGTGAATTCCAAGGCTGTGAAGGCGCCTTTCAGGTTTGTACCCTCCATCCATAGTTCTTACAGTGAAGAAATGGGCAGCTCTATGGGAAATCTTCCCCCTGAGCTACGTGATGGCTGTGCATCTACCAGTTTTTCAGCAAAAAGAATGTTGCCAAAAGCATCCTTTTTTTTGGCAGCAGTTCTGTAACAGCTGTTGTTACACCTTCCACTGAGCAACGTGAAAACGAATCTGCCTTTTCAGTGCTTTGCTTCCTCTTTCCTACCAACTGCGCTGGGGAAGATGTGAGCAGAGGATGGAAAGTGTTGCCTTCGAGCGTTGCTTTCACTTCTCTTTGGTTTGTGCTGCCTCCAGTCCTGTGCCAGTGTTTGGAGATCTGCTCCATCAAGGCGCTACAGGAGCGATGCGGTGATGGATGCTGCGCTTCCTCCAGCTTCTGGTGTTTGTTGGAGGCATCCCACTTACGGGGGGAATAGTTGCAGTGACTGGAAGTGCAGCCCAAAAGGTTGGCTGTTAATCTGGTGGTGGGTTTTTTTGCTTTCTGCAGTGCTTCCCAAGCAGTGCAGGAGTGTTTCCTGGACTGAATGGTCTCTAGGTATCTTAGAGAGCTGTAATAAATCGATTTTGATGCTTTATTTGGGATATAGAGGGGATGGAGGGTGCTTGGGTGACGTTCTTAACTGAGTGAAGGGAAGGTCGTGTTGGTGACTGAAGGCTCATTCCACATTTAGGAAGAGAGGCTTACTGCTCTGCTCTTGGTTTGTCGCCCAGTAAGATCATAGACATTAATATGCTTCAGGTTAATATTAATCAGCACATATGCTTTGCTTGTGTAACATGGCACTTGCCTAAAATCAAGGGGTTCTGGGAGGTCAGAAGTGCCTTTGCTTTGGTTTCGTTGACACTTTATTCCACAAAGCACTTCTTGGATTCCATTTCTTGTTTGGTTTGCTGGGGTCGTTCCCATAGCTAATAAGGACTAATGCTGTGTTGCCAGAGGTGATGGTAAGAGGCTTAAGGGACTCCTCTGAGCTGTCTGCTACAGTGTGCCTCTTGTTAATGAGCTGGGGCTTGCATCTCTTCCTCTCTTTGCATCATTCCCTCTTGCATCAAAGAAGCAGTTATGGGTTATTTACTCCTCTTGCAAGGGCCTGAATAATTGTCTATACAAACTCAGGAAAAATGACAGTAAGGATGGATAGCATTTCTAGCTGCTGCTTCCAAGTCTTTGCCTGAATACTTTTTAGGCTGTTTCATCTTCCTGCATTGGTGAGCACAGATCAGTTCAGGGTGTGCAAGGAAGAAGGGTGAAGATGCAGGGGACTTTGTGAAGCGTGGATGCTCTGAGCTCACCTCACATATTGATTCTGTTCTTTGTTGTCTCCTTGGTTCTGAGCTCTGAGAAACTGATGTAGATTCTCTCTATGAGGTTAAAGAGTGCAAAGAGAAGCTTTCTTGCTGCTGCTGTTGCTGTTTTAATTTGTTTTAGAGTTGTTGTGCCACAGACTGGCACATTTTGTTGAATGTAACCTTGACTTCAGATGTTGCTGTTCTTCAGTTCCCTGTTCAGATAATGAGACTCCACGCTAAGTGCAGTTTTTCTCTTGGTTGTGTCTCCCTGGGCCATCTCAAATCCAAAGGCTTTGCTTACTCTTCCTCCTTTGCTTTCTCCCTGCATCGCTTACAGAAGCTTCAGTGTCCTTTGGACAAAGTCTTTGTGCTGCCTGTCCTTGCAGAGCCTCTCAGCGCAGAAACAGGAGGAGCTGTGGCAGAGGATGAATCCCTGGAAGCCTTTATTGAGCTACAGCACGTTCAGGTGAAAGTTCAGAGGTCCATTTTCCACCTCAAGTTCAAAAGCCTCCCATGTGTGTAACTGTAAAAGAAAGGAAGAGCCTTCCTTTAAGGAACTGTGAGCTGACATCCACAGTTATGTCTGTGGTTTTTTCCTTCAGTTGCCTCTTTAGAAACACGAGAGAAGCAGGACAAAGTGCATTTTTTAAACTGTTGCCAGAAAGCAGTTATTTGCTCAATAGTTATTTGCTTACTAACCTGCTATTGAATCCCATTGTTTGTCCTGAGTACATTAAGATAAGAGGATGCAGCTATAAGGACATCCACAAATGACTCGTTGACCTACTGATGGTTATGCAGCCTTAACACCTTCAAGCATGTGCTGAAAAGGCATTAAAACAGAATCCCAGCAGTCCCTGGTGGCACCTCCTATGAAATTGCCATTAAATGCTTCTGCTTTTCTTTTGAGGCAGGTCTGAAATCGTGTGCGATCCTCTTGACCCAGAGCTGTCGTAAGATGAGCTGTGGAAAGTCAGTGTTTCACTGCAAAGCTTGGATGTAAATCATCCTAGCAAGTGTGTGAAAAGCAATACAAGCATTTTCTCATCCTTCCTTAAGTGCTGTAAGCAGTGGTTTTAACAGCAGTGCCTCTCAGTGGTATTTAAACTTTCCTCTGCATGCTCCCTTGCTGTTAAAGGCTTTGCATACTGCAGGAAGGTGGACCAGCTTTTCTGTGGGGAGTCCCAGTTTTATTGGAGTGCTTTGCATCAGATCACACCCAATCAGGTAACTGAGGCAGCGTGGAAATTACCTGAAGTTGAATGAAGTGTGAGTTCTTGTCTCCTGTTTGACTTCCAGCAAGTCAAGTCACGTGGCTGATAGTATTAAAGCTGGTAGAGGTAAGTGAAAGCAGGCAGGTGGTGAAAATCCAGGGAAATAGACAGTTGCCATATCAAGTTGCTGTGATAATTACTAAAGCTCGTTAGCTAAGTGAAGTTTTTCAATAGACTTTGTACAACTTGGCATCTCTGCCTTTTTACATTGACCAGCCACCACCTGAGTGCTGAGAGCTGCACAAGCATCCAGGGACCCAGGTTTTGCAAGCTGAGTTCTGTTGAGTTGGAAACAACTGGAATTGCTGCAGTGGCGTTTGCGTTGCTAACTGTAATCTTTGCCCCCTGCTTTAATGTTGAAATAGCTGGAGGGATTTTGCTTACATTCTTTCCAAGTCACTGTGGGTCATCAGGCAAGCCAGGAGACTGGGAAAGCTGTGTAGAACCAGGCTCTGTACCAGCTTGTGCAGAGCTCAGCTGCACAATCCAGAAAGGAAAGCTCACCACTCTCATAGCACAGAACTTCCCCCTGTCATCCAACCTCAATCTTCCCCCCTTCAACTTCAAACCGTTTCCCCTTGTCCTGCTGTTTTCTACCCTTGTGAAGAGTTGGGCTCCCCTCCTGTTTATAGGCTCCCTTTAGGGTTGCAAAGTCAGCCCACTGTCTTTCTCCTGTTAACATCATTCATAGTTGAACATATCTGCCATTTTTTCTGGGGTCATTCGGTTCCTGTAAGAGAACAACAAAGTGGCTGAGATAGAACAGAGAGTTCTGACTCTTTTTCTTGTTTTTGCTGCCCATTATGTGACCTTGGGCAAATACTTCAGAAGTGTCAGGAATGCTTCAGGCTCCTCCAGGTAGGCACTGTTCTCTGGGTGGTTCAGGCTTACTGCAAGAAGTAGCTTTGATGGCTGCAAGTTTGCCTTTGCCTTTCACAGTGTGTTTTAGATATGAGCAGGATTTCTTCTGAGGGGAAATGACTGGATCTCTTCCCTCGGTTTGTGCCCACTTGTTTTCAAGGTAGGTGGAAACACTGAAGTTTTCATGTCAGTCATTGTAGGGATGTTACATGGCAATTGCTTTTACACACTTGGACTGGCAGTTAAATGATAACAGGCCTACCACGTGATTTCACTGCTTCATTCATCTTTGGAAGCGAAATGCTATCGAGTGAAATGCATATTTGGCTCATCTAAAGCTTACCCTGAGCTATCAGCTCATCAGCACAGCTGGCCTGTTCTAAGGTATGTGACTCATAAAGTTGACAAAGCATTTACCACATGTATTTTTTTTTTTTTTTTCTTTTAGCACCTGTATTTTGTTCTTTAAACCAGGCTTTATGGAATGGCTGCTCTGATTGTAGAGCATCTCAGCTCTATGGGTTCCCTTCTTGTGTTGAGGAGTTCCTGGTAGTGTTTATAAACACATAAATAACCAAACTTATCTCTAATGAGAAGCGACAGCTTTCTTTCCACTTCACCTGAGAGAAAAAGGAAACGAAACTCAGGCTTATTTGCAGCTGTTGTATTTGGGGTGAAGTGTGATGGGTTACTTCTCTGTAAGAAGTAGCTTCTGCACTTGGAAAGGGGGCTGGTGCCTGACCACAGCCTGCTTTTCCCTTTGCTTGTAGAGGTGCTGGGCTGTACGTGGCTCTGCCCATGTCTGGAGCTGGTGGTTTCACTTCAGCATTCAGCTGCTTGCCCCTGCAGCAGCCACGCTGTGTACCGTGCTGAGAAACTGGGCTGGTGAAACTAAGCCAGCCAAACAGAGCAGCTGCAAGGCCTTCGTGCGGAGTTTCGGTGCCTGGTTGAATGGTCTGTTGGATCTGCTTCTGTAGCTGTTGCTCTGCTGGCTAAAACTTTAATTATCTTTGGCTGGGTGAGGTTAACGAGCTCTGGATGCTGCTACCGTACAGCTCTGAGGCATCATAGTGGGTTGGAAGGGACCTCAAGGATCACGAAGCTCCAACCCCCCACCAATGCAGGGCCACCAACCTCCCAATTTCACAGCAGCCCAGGCTGCCCAGGGCCCCATCCGACCTGGCCTTGAACACCTCCAGGGATGGACGGGGCATCACAGCCTCTCTGGGCAGCTGTTCCAGCACCTCACCACTCTCATAGCAAAGAACTTCCCCCTGACATCCAACCTCAATCTGCCCTCCTTCAACTTCAAACCATTTCCCCTTGTCCTGCTGTTATCTCCCCTTTCCAAGAGTTGATTCCCCTCCTGTGTGTAGGCTCCCTTTAGGTACTGAAAGGCTGCACTGTTGTCACCCCACAGCTTCTCTTCTCCATGCTGAACAAGGAAGTCAGAATAACGTGGTACATCCACAGTGAAGATGTGGTGGGCAAGTAGAAGGTTTATTTTCAGTGTTTGAATCCCTCTCTCTTTATTATCTCATACTTAGGAGCATAAACAAGGAAGTTGTCTGTGATTGGAAGCCCGTTCCCTGCATGGTGGGCTGACTGGGACAGAAGGGAGGAAGAGCAAAGGCCGAGCTGGAGATTGAAATTGTGTTCTCACAGCCCAAAACAGAACATTCCCCTTCCAACTGGTTTGTAAGCAGTGAGACCTGAGGTTTTTACAATGAATTCCAGACTTTGGGTGCAAACAAGTCACAAAACACAGAGATAAGAACTTGGCTGTGCTCCCTGGGATGCAAGTGCAGGTCACGATGCTCTGGAGCTTGTGAAACAGAAGAGGAAAAACTTGTTTGACTTTGCTTGAGGGTGAATTCATTGTAGCATATTACTTCAACCTGTCACGCAATTAGCTTGTAATCCGAAAAGGAACTGGAGAAAGTTGCCCTTCTTGTCAAGAACTGCTCTCTGGTTTAGTTTCTTTGTTTTCTATTAATTGGGAAGCGTGCTTGGTCGGTGGTTGACTTGTATGCTGCTGAAGCTGGGAGGTTTGAAACCTTGGCATCTTTCTTAAGGCACATCGGGGCGGCTGTGTTTCTCTGATCGAACTACCCAGGAAACTGCACAGCTTTAAGAGCAGGTTCAATGGATGACTTCCATGTAGGTTTGTAACGAAACATTCTTGCTGTCATCATTCTCAATGCCAATTTCTGACCAAAAGGACTGTCTACTCTTGCAATTAAGACTTATTTTATTTTACATTGTGTGCACAGCCCAGGGAAGTGGCCGTCCTGTGACCTGTCTTGGCATCCCGTGGTCCCATCCTGTGGTTCATCCCATGATGAACCATTCTATGATCCTGTCCCGGGCTGCTCTTGAAGTCTGATAAATGAGCTTAGCAGAAATTAGGCTGAAGCTTATCCACCTGTGCTTTTGAGTCTGCCACGTGAATAGAAATTGAATATTCTTTCAGTGTTAGTTTTCCTTCTGTTGTAAGTGCATTCCTGTAGGATTAAGTGAGAACTTTAAAGCACGGTGTTGTCATTCCAAACCCAATAATGACTCTTGTTCAAAACCTTTTAGGACTGACTGCATACAGGCAAGCTTTGGGTGGGCCAAAAAGGGTGGCAGCCACTCATTGGCATCCCTAGGGGAGGGAGGCAAGGCAGTGGGAGAGTGGGTTTTGTAATGGAAGATTGATGAGAACATTGTATATGGGTGCTGAGTTCACTTGACTCTCTGTTATGCATGTGCTGGCTTGAAAGAGGAAGCAAAATTAAGCAGTAATTTCAGAAACAAAACTGCTTTGAGTAGTTAATGATAACTCAGGAAGGATAATTTTCCCTCAGTTTCTGGATGTGTATCTCTGTTGTGTTCTGCTTTTTATTTAAGGGTGCTGCAGCAGTTCCCAGGGTTGCTGTGACTGCAGGGAGCCTCGTTCAGCCCACGACGATGGCAGTAGTTTGTTGGAGCTCCTTGTCTTCTAGTTCCTCTCGGGCAGGCTTCAGGCTTGGCCCTGTTTCCAGTGTGATGATACAGAACACTGGGTGATACACTGCTCTTCTGTGCCAATGCTGTCGTGTGTTCTGGGAAGTGATAGTTGGAGTGATTTAGATGTGTGGAGTGAAAGTTATGCACAGGACGTGAGGAAGAGTAGCGTGTCCTGTGCATCGCTTTTGCTTCAGCTGAGCCCATGCAGGCTGGCTGCTGCTCATCCAGGCACCTCATGATAACTTAACTGAATGCTATTGTTAACATCAGGTTTCTGCCAAAAAAAAAAAGTTGGTGGTTTTTTTTTTCTTGTACAAATCATTAAAATGCACACATGATGATAAGAAAAGCTTCACCTCAATCTGAAGTTCCTGGAACTATTCCTTATTTCCTTGTGTTTCGTAGCGCCGGCTTCGCCACCTTCGGAATATTGCTGCACGTAACATCATCAGTAAGAATGGTTATCGCCTCTTGGACACGTATTTCACCCTCCACCTGTGTGATAACACCAAGATATACAAAGGTAATCAGCCTTCGTGTCAGCTTTCTCACCAAGTATTCTTTTAGGACACTGGCTTTGTATTCTTTTTTGCCTCATCAACCTGCTGCCACTACTCGCATCATTTCTATGAGCAGCAGAAGAGCACTCTTTATTATCCTGAACTTCATAAAAGCCTTGGAGGAAGCAGGCAAGGAAGCAAAGCAGATGGCAGCTCGGGTAGAGCCTCTTTAAATAAAACCTGTTGTTGTTGCTCTCCTTTCTCTCAGCTTAAACTTTGAGTTTAAGGAATTTAGAAACTTAAAATTTCACAGGAAAGCTAAAGCTTCTGGACGCCAGTTATTTTCCTGAGCATAACCCAGCACTTGATTCCACTTAGTTCCACTTCACAAAATACTCTTGTCAGCCAATGGCAAGAAACATCCATTCATCTGTTCTGCTTTCAACACTTGTGAATGTTAGAACTCGTTCCTAGTGCTTTGCTTCCCATTGCAACCAATAGTTCCTCGTTACGGAGAGAAGATTTTTATCTTCTCTTTCGGTCTGTCAACAGCTGGAGCTTTGGAAGTGAGTTCTGTTACACCCAGGCTTTAATTTGAGGTCTCTGTCTGAAGGTTGTATAACGTGAGCCTGCTGCACGGGCTTCTGTGATGGTTGTTTGAATCTGGCATAGAATGTTCTGGGTTGTCAAACATTTTTTTTCCTTTCATTTTAGTAAACTGAGAGGTTTTCTATGAAGTCTGTGTGTCAGCCTCTGGTGCTGTCTGCTTAAAGACTCTTCTTTTGCCTGGGAGAGCCAAGGGCTGCGTGTCCAACGAAGGCCAGGGTTCGTGGTACCTCTGAGGCTCTCTTCTAAGCATCTGGAACAGCTCACCCTTGCTCTTCAGGAATGCAGTGCAATCACTTGATCCCCTCTGCCCTCCTCCAGGAAGGTGTTAAATAACAAACCAGTCCAATGGGAAGTGGCAACCAAATCCTGTAAATTACTGGCCCACGTTCTTTTCCCAGAAACCAAAGGCACGGGAGCATCTTGGTTACAATGGTGAAACGTTAGTAATGACTCCTAATAATTCAGTGAATTCACTTGCTTAAAAGAGTTGGCTGCACTTCAAAGTCTTTCTTAGCAGTGTGTTCCCAACAGGTTACACCCATTAGCATTTCTATTTCAAGAGTGTTACTTGTTTTGGCTTTTTGTTTCAAATATGAAGATTTCTGTTGGTGTTTAAGCTAATCTAAAAGTGTCTTTCACTCATTTTTCTTTAGAATTTTACAAGAGTGAAGTGATCAAGAATTCTCTGGTAAGTCATTTTCACATAAGAGAAACTCGTTTCTTTTGACACTGTGTATTTGCCACAGCATATAAATTCCTCAGCTGCACGCTGTGACTCTTTAAACATGTATTAAGACTCTTAATTCCTTTTAGGAGCATCGCGTTCTCCTCCTCCTCCTCAGGTTTTGTTCACAAAAGTTGGAACAGTGAGTTCAGAACAGTAGATCTGCAGGTTTGTTTTCACAGCTGAGGAACAAAGATGAGTTGGTACCTCTGCACATGGGACTAAACCCTCCCAGGACCACTTTGATGTGAGAACTCTTTGGTGTCCAGGTTAAGCTTGACAACAGATAACTATTTCAAGTGCTGAGGACACCAAACTGGCAAAGTTTATTTGTTAATCGTGTTTTAACATCATAATATGATGTTAATCGTATTTTTACTGGTCTCAGACACTTCTTTCATTGTCACAAAGCTGTGTGTGTCATACCTAAGATCTGTTCACAGCTCAGCTCTTCCAAGGGTTGCCATCTGCATCGGTTGAGGAGGAGGAGGAGTGAATAAACCTGTAAATAAATTATGCCAACTTAATTACTGAGGAATAGGTCAGAGCTGCAATTCAGCTTCTGCAATGAAAGCTATAGTTTGGTTTTCAGAAGCTAAATTATGTGGGAAAACAACACTGCATCCACTTTACGAGCGCTTGATTTGGCTGAACTCAGTTATTGAAGTAATTGTTCAGAGCCTTTAATAGCTTGGTAAAAGCTGAAAGGCTGCTGTTCATGATGAAATGGTTTTGTGTTAAAATCCTTGTTTGCATAAAGTGCTACATTCTAGTGTCGTGCTTGGAGGTCAGGAGTGTCAGCTTCAGTACCTCTCATCTCCCTTTGAATGCCAACAGAATCCAACCTGGAGGAGTTTGGACTTTGGAATAATGCCTGATCGTCTCGATACGTCTGTCTCGTGTTTCGTTGTGAGGATCTGGGGTGGCAAGAAGGAGCACTTCCAGCTTCTGATCGAATGGAAGGTCAATCTGGATGGATTGAAGTACTTGGGACAGCAGGTATAGCAAAAACAGTTTTTCTTCTACTTCTGGTTTAAAGAATTGTAACAGCTAGGTGAGCAAATAGAGGATATTAATGCGTGGTGAGTTGGTCTTGGTAGCAGCCAACAGCTCTCACTGAGCTCCCCTCACTCAGTGGTAGGTTGGGAATGGTCAGGAGAGCAAGAGTGAGGAAAGACTCATGGGTGGGTTGGGATGAAGACAACTTAATAAATGAGAGCAAAAAAAGAAGAGAGGAAGGAGGATGAAAAACAATGCAGGATGCAGAAGCAGTCACTCAGCAGCTCCCAATAGAGATCTGATGCCCAGCCAGTCCTTCAGCAACAGCTGCCTTGGACAGAATAACTTGTTTGTGTTTCTGAGTGTGGTGTTGCACCATAAGAAGCTCTGGCCACTCGAATCAGAATCCTAGAATCCTAGAATCCTAGAATCCTAGAATCCTAGAATCC